GCCGCTTTACTGCAGGGTCGGCTGAGGTTGAGGGGCCATGGGGTGTAGAGAGTTTGGGTCACAGGGTTTGGGGTTTGGGTTTGGGGTTTTGGGTTTAGGGTATTTAAGCCCTAAAACCCTAAACCCTAAACCCTAAATCCTAACCCAAACTCTAAACCCTAAACCCTAAACCTAAACCCGCAACCCGTACCTTTCTGAAGCACACAGCTGAGGAAAGACCTCAGGTCCTCCGCTTGTCTTCCCCACACCCAATCTTCCCCATGGTGCTCGGGGACTTCCCACAAGGCGTAAGCCCTACAATAACAATAACAACCCTGAAGCCCCAGAGCCCCCAAAACCCGAAGACCCCCAAACCCTAGGACCATTAGCCCTAAACCACAAACCCCAAGCCCAAACCCGAAACCCGAAACCCTAAACCCCAAACTTAAGCACCGCCATGAAGTGGACCGAACCTTCGGTTGCCTTGTCTGTCCAGGTCTACTTGGAGGTTCATGGTACTTATTAACCAATTATAACTGTACTTATAACTGTACTTACAACCATATTAGGGCACTTAAGGGGCTGATAAGTGGGTTATAAGTACAGTTGTAAGTGTTAATAAGTACCATGAACCTCCAAGTATGCCCTTCTTGGGCGTATGGAGCTTATTGGGTTTTAGGGTTTAGGATTTAGGGTTTAGGGTTTAGGGTTGGGCTTGTAGGGCTAATAGGTTGAGGCACTGCAAGTTGCGGTGTGCCAGGCTTCTTCTCTTCCTCCTACGCGAGGAGCTGTATGACAGCAAGTGCCGACGGCTCAGATCCAAGGAGACTTCAACTGTTTGAGGGTTTCGGGTTTAGGGTTTAGTGGGTTTAGTGGGTTTAGGGGGTGTAGGTTTTCGGGGAAGCAACATGTAGGAGGTGTTCTTCGGATGTAGGAGAACTTTAGGACCTAATTCCCACAAGGGCGGTGGCCTGCGTCTGTGCTGCAGTGGGGGTGGGGGGCGGGGGGGGAGGAGTTGTGTTTAGAATTTAGGGTTTAGGGTTGAGGGTTTAGGGCTTGGGATGTTTTAGGGTTCGGGCCCTCTGAAGCAGAATTGCATGGGTGTGCGATGCTTTTGGTGAAGCTTGAGCAGGTCCTTGAAAGAGCCCCGAACCCGAACCCCCCCCCCCTCAACCCGCGGGGAACAGCATTCAAACCCTAAACTAAACCCTAGACCCCAAACCCTAAGCCCTAAACCCTAAACCCTACACCCTAAACCCTAAACCTTACACCCTATAACCCTAAACCCTACAACCCTAAAGCCTATAGCCCTAAAGCCAGGGAAGACCGCAGTCATCGCCATCGTCCTCTTCGTGGCCTTTGTCTTCGCCTTTGTGTCGATCCAGGGTCCGGCAGAGCAGGCAATGAAGGCGCTGGGAATGGATGCCTAGTTCGAGGTGCTCAGGGTTTAGGGTTTAGGGTTTAGGGTTTAGGGTTTAGGGTTTAGGGTTTAGGGTTTAGGGTTTAGGGTTTAGGGTTTAGGGTTTAGGGTTTAGGGCTCTGGCTACATCCAGCAAAAGTCTGGAGGGGCTCCTCCCTGGCACACCCTAGAGGACTAGAGTCATACATAGGAGGCAGTTTCAACAGGTTTGTCATGGTTGAGGGGCTGTAGGCCCTAAACCCTAAACCCTAAACCCTAAAGCCTAAAGCCTAAACCCTAGACCCTAGACCCTAAACCCTAAACTCTAAACCCTAATCCCTAAACCCTAAACCCTCCACAAGCACTAGCCCCGTGACTCTATAAACCCGAAACCCGAAGCCTTAAACCCTATCAACCCTATAAGCCCTAAGCCCGAAACCCGTAACCCTAAACCTATCCAAAGAATTCCCTAAGTCCTGGAAGCCTTGAGCCCTCTATGCAACCCAAAGCCCTAAGCTAGAAACTTCCGAGCCAGAAGACGGTGCGGGGTTGAGGGTGTTCCGGCCTTAGGGTGTTTAGGGAAGAGGGTTTAGGGTTTAGGGTTTAGGGTTTAGGGTTTAGCGTTTAGCGTTTAGGGTTTAGGGTTTAGGGTTCCAGCTTTAGGGTGTTTAGGGTTTAGGGCTTCGGGGTGCCCACCGCGTGGAGCCAGCATCTCAGATGCACGCTGCAAGAAGCGTTGACGCGCTCGCTGGTGCAATGTGCGCTGGACAACTCCCAAAGGATTGAAAGTTACCCTAAACCCTAAACCCTAAACCCTAAACCCTAAACCCTAAACCCTAAACCCTAAACCCTAAACCCTAAACCCTAAACCCTAAACCCTAAACCCTAAACCCTAAACCCTAATACCCTAAACCCTAAACCCTAAACCCTAAACCCTAAACCCTAAACCCTAAACCCTAAACCCTAAACCCTAAACCCTAAACCCTAAACCCTAAACCCTAAACCTAACCCTAAACCCTAAACCCTAAACCCTAAACCCTAAACCCTAAACCCTAAACCCTAAACCCTAAACCCTAAACCCTAAACCCTAAACCCTAAACCCTAACCCTAAACCCTAAACCCTAAACCCTCAAGGGGCCCAAAAGTCCAGGCACCACCCAAAGCCCCCCCCCCCCCCCCCCCCCCCCGCCCAAAATGCCAAACCCTAAACCCTAAACCCTACAGGGTTCAGGCTGTGCGGTCTAAGGTTCAGCTTCGAGGCTCGTTTCTTTAGGGGTTTAGGGTTTAGGGTTTCGGGTTTAGGGCTTAGGGTCTGGGGTTTGGAGTTTCTAGCCCCCCCCCAAGCCTCTGTGGTTCCGGACTGCAACCTGTTTCAGACCTTTATCGTCTTTTTCAGAAGCCGCAACCTACACCCCGGACACCGTGACCACGTAGGTAGTATTTATTGCGTGCATTGCGCTTCTCGTGCATTGTTTTCACCAAATGCTGTACTGGCAGCTTTCAGACCTCCCCATTGTGGCACGCGCCTTTTCCCAACACGGCCGCCGCAAACCGGGGAATCTGTTTAGGGCTTCAGGGATTTAGGGCTTTAGGGTCTTCGGGCTTTAGGAGTTTGTTTTCTTCTTCTGCATTTAGGGTTACGACTGCCGTGGAACGCTGAAGAACCTACTTGAAGGAGAATCGCCCAGCGCACCTACTGTAGGGGTCGGAATAAGTACCACTAGCATTCCCTTCTGGCGCCTTTATTACAGGACCGGGAGTAGGTCCTTCTTCCCTTTTCTTAGGGTTGGGGTTCCCTTATCATCCGATTAAAACCAAGAAGGGTACCCTTTTTATTCCTAGCTTACTCCCGGGTCTAGATTAATATACCTGCATAACCCTCAAAGCCCTATTGAAATGATTAGGGCCCTTAAGCCCTGAACCCTAAACCCTAAACCCTAAACCCTAAACCCTAAACCCTAAACCCTAAACCCTAAACCCTAAACCCTAAACCCTAAACCCTAAACCCTATACTGGCTTACTAAGAAAACATGCAGCTGTCCGGCAAGTCTAAAATGCACTGAGATCTCTTCGATCTCAAGGTCCACTTTAGGGTTTAGGGTTTAGGGTTCAGGGTTTACATTCAGGTTTTGAGGGGCTGGAGGGGGACCACCTAGGAGCCGAAAGCCGCCTTTCTACATTGCTACATGGTCTCGAAATTATTGCTGCTTGGAACCCCTAAACCCTAAACCCTAAACCCTAAACCCTACACCCTAAACCCTAAACCCTAAACCCTAAACCCTAAACCCTTGGTTCTTTTGAGGTTCTCTTCTGGGCTGATGCTCAACCCTGCAAAACCCTGAAGCCCTTTGCGAGCAGGGGAGGGACCAAGGGGCCCCTTCACAGGGCTCATCTGCTATTTGCTTAAGAACACACACCCCCCCCACCATTCAAAAAAAAAATGATACAAAAAAGTATATATGTATTTATATATATATATATATTTATATTTATATATATTTATTTATTTATTATTCCTTGTAAGGGCAATCTTCGGGATGATTATTTTCTATTTTTTTTTTTTTTTGGGGGGGGGGCTTCTTAAGCAAAAGGTTATCATTGATTTAATCTTATCTCTTGACTCCTCTTGGATCGACTCTTTTCCTCGCAGTCGCCAAGGCCGATAAAAGCACCGCCCCCTCGGGAGGACATTGGTAGTTCTCAAAATTCGGGTGCTATCTTTGAGGTCCCCAAACCCTCAACCCTAAACCCTAAATCCTTTAACCCCTGAACCTGAACCCTAATCTCGAGACCCTAAACCCTGAACCCTAAACCCTAAACCCTAAACCCTTGGTTCCGTAGGGTTCTCGGCTTGTAGGGCTGCTTTGGGGTTTGGCTTCGCAGCTTGCGGGGCTTCCGGAGTATGCTGGTTTAGGGTTTAGGGTTTGGGGTTCTAGGGTTCTAGGGTTCTAGGGTTTAGGGTTTAGGGTTTAGGGTTTAGGGTTCTAGGGTTTAGGGTTTAGGGTTTAGGGGTTTATTCAAGGGTTCCCCTAGTCATTCCACCTCAAGTATCGTTCCACCTCAATTTCAGCGTGCTGCTTCAGCGCGAAGCCCACGCGCTGAAGCAGCACCCAAAATCGAGGCAGCACCCAAATCGAGGCAGCATGCATTTGGCACGGGAATTTGGCCTGGCATGTTTCTTCTCAAGCAAAATAGCCTTTCTAGCGAAACCCAGTTGATTTTCACAGCGTGCCACCTCGACTATCGTTCCACCTCAATTTCAGCGTGCTGCTTCAGCGCGAAGCCCACGCGCTGAAGCAGCACCCAAAATCGAGGCAGCACCCAAAGCGAGGCGGAATGGCTATGGAACTCCTTGATTTATATTAAACAACAGCAGTGGTTTAGGGTCTGCGGCGGCCAAAGGTGCTTGGAGCTGAACGCTGTTCAGGGGGTTTTAAAGGCCTAACGGCTTAAGGCTGTCCAGGAAACCCTGAACCCTAAACTTTAAACCCTGAACCCTAAACTTTAAACCCTGAACCCTAGACCCTAAACCCTAAACCCTGAACCCTGAACCCCTGAACCCTAAACCCAAAACCCTAAACCCTTAACCCGAAACCCTTAACCCACTCCTTCTCGGAGCCAGGAGAACGTGACGGTCCGGTCCGGCTCCAACCGGTATCTCGTTGATATCCGCGGGGCTCCCCTGACAAGGGTTTAGCGTTTAGGGTTTAGGGTTTAGGGTTTAGGGTTTAGGGCTTTAGGTTTGAGGGTTTAGGTTTGAAGGTCTAGGTGTGGGGTTTTAGGGGGTTTTAAGGTCTAGGTGTGAGGGTTCAGGGTGTGGGTTTTAGGGCTCTAGGGGTTAGGTTTGTGCATTGAGGGTTCGGGGTGCAGGGTTGTAGGGCTTTAGGGTGTAGGGTTTAGGGTTTCGGTTTTAAGTGTTTTTTTGTATCGGGTGTTGGGGTTTTTAAATTTTAGGGTCTAAGGGTATAGCAATTTATTGTTTTGGGATGTTCGGGTTTAGGTTTGAGGGCTGAGGGTTTAGGTTACAGGGAGTAGAGTTTCAGGGTTCATCTGGCTTAGAATGGTTTAGGGTTTAGGGTTTAGGGTTTAGGGTTTAGGGTTTAGGGTTGGGCTCCAGAGCTTGTCCACGGAGTGTCAACGGACGCAGAGTCGGCCCTTCTTTCCTTCTGTTCGGGTTGAGGCTACCTTATCAGCCGCTTCAACCCAACAAGGGTACCGTTTTGGATTCCTAGGCTCCTCTTGGGTCTAGTGAAGATTCTGTGGGAGACCCTAAACCCTAAACCCTAAACCCTAACCCCTAAACCCTAAACCCTAAACCCTAAAGCGCTTCCGCTGCTTGGGGGCCCCCTTGCAGTTCTGCTTCCTACAGTTCCTTTCTCAATCATGTTGGGGGTCTCCGAAATCCTTTATTCTAAGGGCATCCTACTCTTCGGGGGGCTATTCGGGGTAGGGTTTAGGGTTTATAGAAATTGTATAGGGTTTGGGTCCCAATAACGTTTTGAGCGAAACGTTTTGAGCGAAACGTTTTGAGCGAAACGTTTTGAGCGAAACGTTTTGAGCGAAAGTTTTGTTTTTAGAGTTTAGGTTTTAGGGTCAGCGTGGGGGGCTCAAAATTAGCTCTTGGAGCTTTTCCGGAGCTCAAATTAGCTCAAACTTAGCTCCCCGGAGCTCAAACTTAGCTCCCGAGCTCAAAATTAGCTCCCGATTGCTCCCAGAGCTCAGAATTCGCTCCCGGAGCTCAAAGAGCTCAAAATTAATTCCAGAGCTCAAAATTAGCTCCCAAAGCTCAAATTGGCTCCCGGAGCTCAAAATTAGCTCCCGGAGCTCAACATTAGCTCCCGGAGCTCAAAATTACCTCCCGCAGCTCAAAATTAGCTCCCGGAGCTCAAAATTAGCTCCCAGAGCTCAGAATTAACTCCCGGAGCTCAAAATTAGCTCCCGGAGCTCCCAGAGCTCAAAATTAGCTCCCAAAGCTCAAAATTAGCTCCCAGAGTTCAAAATTAGCTCCCAGAGCTCATAAAAAACTCCGGGAGCTCGAAATTAACTCCCAAAGCTCAAAATTAGCTTCCGGAACTCAAAATTCGGTCCCAGAGCTCAAAATTAGCTCCCGGAGCTGAAAAGTAGCTCCCGGAGCTGAAAATTAGCTCCCAGAGCTCAAAATTAACCAACAAAATTAGCTCCCAAAGCTTAAAATTGAGCTGTCAGAGCTCAAAATTAGCTCCCGGAGCTCAAAATTAACTCCCAAAGCTCAAAATTAGCCTTCGGAGCTTAAAATTAGCCCCCGGAGCTCAAAATAAGCTCCCGGAGCTCAAAATTAGCTTCCGGAGCTCAAAATTAACTCCCGGAGCTCCAAATTAGCTCCCATAGCTCCAAAGCTCCAAATTAGCTCCCGAACTTCAAAATTAGCTCCCGGAGCTCAAAATTAGCTCCTGGAGCTCAAAATTAGCTCGCGGAGTTCAAAATTAACTCCTGGAGCTCAAAATTAGCTCCGAGAAAACAAAATTCATTCCCAGAAGCAAAAAATCAGCTCCCTCAAAGTTAACTCCGCTCAGAATTAGCTCCCAAAGCTCAAAATTAGCTCCCAGGGCTGAAAAGAGCTCCCAGGTTTAAGGAAATTTGAATATCCGTGGCCAGGCAAAAAGGAGTTTAAGTAAATTGAGCATCCGAGCAGACAAAGGAGGTTTAAGTAAACTGCGTAGCCATGACTAGGCAAAAGGAATTTAGGGCTCAGACAAATAACTTGGGAAATTCATAATGATAACACATACAAAGAGCTCAAAATTAATTCCAGAGCTCAAAATTAGCTCCCAAAGCTCAAATTGGCTCCCGGAGCTCAAAATTAGCTCCCGGAGCTCAACATTAGCTCCCGGAGCTCAAAATTACCTCCCGCAGCTCAAGATTAGCTCCCGGAGCTCAAAATTAAGTCCCAGAGCTCAGAATTAGCTCCCGGAGCTCAAAATTAGCTCCCGGAGCTTCCAGAGCTCAAAATTAGCTCCCAAAGCTCAAAATTAGCTCCCAGAGTTCAAAATTAGCTCCCAGAGCTCATAAAAAACTCCGGGAGCTCGAAATTAACTCCCAAAGCTCAAAATTAGCTTCCGGAACTCAAAATTCGGTCCCAGAGCTCAAAATTAGCTCCCGGAGCTGAAAAGTAGCTCCCGGAGCTGAAAATTAGCTCCCAGAGCTCAAAATTAGCCAACAAAATTAGCTCCCAAAGCTCAAAATTAGCTCCCGGAGCTCAAAATAAGCTCCCGGAGCTCAAAATTAGCTTCCGGAGCTCAAAATTAACTCCCGGAGCTCCAAATTAGCTCCCATAGCTCCAAAGCTCCAAATTAGCTCCCGAACTTCAAAATTAGCTCCCGGAGCTCAAAATTAGCTCCTGGAGCTCAAAATTAGCTCGCGGAGTTCAAAATTAACTCCCGGAGCTCAAAATTAGCTCCGAGAAAACAAAATTCATTCCCAGAAGCAAAAAATCAGCTCCCTCAAAGTTAACTCCGCTCAGAATTAGCTCCCAAAGCTCAAAATTAGCTCCCAGGGCTGAAAAGAGCTCCCAGGTTTAAGGAAATTTGAATATCCGTGGCCAGGCAAAAAGGAGTTTAAGTAAATTGAGCATCCGAGCAGACAAAGGAGGTTTAAGTAAACTGCGTAGCCATGACTAGGCAAAAGGAATTTAGGGCTCAGACAAATAACTTGGGAAATTCATAATGATAACACATACAATTTCTATTTATTTTGTCTTGAGGGTTTAGGGTTTAGGGTTTAGGGTTTAGGGTTTAGGGTTTAGGGTTTAGGGTTAAAGGTTTAAGGGTTTAGGGTTGAGGGTTGAGGGTTGAGGGTTGAGGGTTTAGGGTACCTTATTTCGTAAGCTCCCATGTGTATTCCGAATAGCGTAGTGCTCGGTTTAGGAGATGCTGAACAAGAACTCCAGGCCCCTGAACCCTTTAAACCCATAAGGCTGTGGGTTTTAGGGTTGAGGGTTGAGGGTTCAGGGTTCAGGGTTCAGGGTTTAGACCCCGACCCGAAACCCTCAACCCCTCTAAGCCCTAAACCCGCCACCCTCAACCCAGGGCTCTTGACTTGGAGCCATTCCGTCAGTTTCGCAACCTTTGGGCAGAGGTTTCGAGAGGCTCCTTTGTGTCGGACGTAGGGGTCAGGATTCAGGGATTCGGATCTGGTTTTGGGCGATTTAGGCGGTTCGGTGGTTTAGAGTTTAGAGATTGGGTCAGCTTAGCGGGGACTTCGGACTCAAGCGTAGGTGGTTCTAAGAGACATCAGTGGCAGCTGCAAGAAAAAAAAGCACATCAGATGCATGATGCCGCTGAAAACCACTGGTTCATGAAGTGTGGGGCTTAGGGTGTAGGGCTTAGGGTTGAAGGTTTAGGTTTAGGGTTTAGGGTTCCCCCACCTGGGGGGCCACTGCAGTTCCACCGGCATACTCCTCATGCAGAGTGGCTGGAACCAGCGGCCTTTTGCTCGACCTCCTGTCCGCATTGCGCGCACTACGAACTTGCACAGCACCAAGGTCGTGAAGTGTTTGTGGGTGTTGTGGATGTAGAACCTTGGAATATTGCAGCCCCTCATCAAGCATCTTGCAACTTGAATATGTAGGGTTTAGGGTTTGGGGTTCAGAGGGTTTGTATATGACCCTCGTCTTAAACCAAGTGCAAGCTTAACACGAGAGCAAAACCCTAAATCTTGATTATTCATGTTCCACGGTTCAAGAGCTGGGTCTTGCTGCTTTTGGTTTGTGCAGATTGTTTCATAATGGATCCCACAAAAACGCTTGAGCCGTGCTCTAGCAGCTGATAGTAACAAGTAGAAACGTAGCAACAATAATTTTACTGGAACATATGTTCCCTGGCCCTCTCAACCCTTATGCCCCAACTCCTTAAACCCTATTTGAACCCCAAAATAAGCCCGTAAACCCTAAACCCTTACATAAAGCCCTGAACCCTATACACCTTACACCCTTAAATAAACCCTTAAACCCTAAACCCCTACATCCTAAACCCCAAGATAATTCCCGAAGCCCTAAACCCTGAACCCCCAAATAAAGCCCAAAATCCTAAACCCTAATTCCCTGAGCCCTATACCCCAAGTCCCTAATCCCTTAAACCCCCTTGAACTCCTAAACCCCAAACAAAGAAGCCCTAAACCCAAAACCCTAAACCCTAAACCCTACACCCCAAATCCTAAACCCTAAACCCTAAACCCTAAACCCTAAACCCTGAAGCCTGAACCCTGAACCCTGAACCCTGAACCCTGAACCCTGAACCCGAAGCTGTTGAGGTGCAGGCACGCAGATGAACATGACCCATCCGGGTCGGCGTGTGCGACGTGCCGGGATCCCCATGTCGAGTCTAGGGTTCAGGGTTCAGGGTTCCGGGTTTAGGGTTTGGGGTTTGGGGTTTAGGGTTCAGGGTTTAGGGTTTAGGGTTAAAACTAAACTTTAGGGTTTAGTATAGACTCTCTGTCTTTGCGTCATACAAAGGTCAGGGCTTAGGGCTATTTAGGGTTTAAGGTCTCGGTCTCGGGGCTATGGTTTTGGGGAAGTTTCAGCGTTTCAGGGCTGTGCGAGTTTCTTAAGGGCAGTTCTGGGTTTCTGCCGCCTGTAGCAGGCAGCTACTCGATACTCGGGAGCCTCAATGAGTGTAGCCCATGCTCTGCCAAACTGGAAGCTCTTCAGCTCAGTTTTATTTTATTGGCTTTCGTTTTTGCTTGTTGAGCGGACGGAGCCCGCTCCTTTCCCGCAAACTCCGCGGACGCTCTTGAAACAACTTGAAACAGGGTTTAGGGTTTAGGGTTAAGATATCCAACCATTTCGGGGACCCGACGATGAGGAAGATCCTAGAACAGAGGCCCGAAATTTAGACGTGCAAGGGCTTGAGCTAGCTGTAGGGTTTAGGGTTCAGAGTTTCGGGCTTAGGGCCGGAGGGCCCAATTCCCTGCGCCAAGACCTAAATGTGCTCTACAGCTCCACACTCGAAGCCTCAAACCCTTGACCCCCTTCCCTAAAACCCTCAAGAGAACCCTCAAACTTCAAAAACCCGAAAACCCTACACTCTTCCAAGCCCTAGAAGCCCCATAAATCCTTAGCCCCTGTAGCGTTCTCAACCTAACCCCTAAACCCTAAACCCTAAACCCTAAACCCTAAACCCTAGACCCTAAACCCCAAACCCTAATCCCTAAACCCGAACTAGCATTTCCCTAAAACCTGTTGAGACCTCTGAGGTCCGACGGCTGGCAACCGGAGGTCGGGGACAAGAAGAGAAGGGATCCTAGGGTTTAGGGTTTAGGGTTTAGGGTTTAGGGTTTAGGGTTTAGGGTTTAGGGTTTAGGGCGTATTGGCCATCCCCCACCGACCCACCCTAAGTGTGTGCCTCAAACTAACCCCTCAAGCCCCCAGGGCAAACTCAAAGCCCGGAGCCCTACACCCGACAAAACAACCCTTAGCAGCTCCACCGAATCTCCAAACTTCGACGCCCTAAACCCTAAAACCTAAAACCCTAAACCCTAAACCCTAAACCCTAAACCCTAAACCCTAAACCCTAAACCCTAAACCCTAAACCTAAAACCGAAGCTTCAGAACCCCGAACCCGAACTGCCCTAAATACCCTAGGACCGGGAGTAGGCCCTTTGTTTCCTTTTTTTAGGCTTGGGGTTCCCTTACAACCCCCTTAAAAAACCAAGCAGGGTGCCCTTCTTATTCCTAGCTTACTTCCGGGTCTTAGTACCCAACCTTACAGGCTTTAAGTCCCAAGCACCCCAAAACCCTGAGCTCCTCCCCTAAGCCCCAAACCCTAAGCCCTAAACCCTAAACCCTAAACCCTAAACCCTAAACCCTAAACCCTAATTAAACCCTCAACCCTCAACCCTTGAAAGCCCTAAGCAGAAAGCCCCTGAACCTGAACACCCGTATAAACCCGATACCCGATTCCCCCAAGAACCCCCCTCAAAGCCCTACAAACCAAAACACCAGACCATAACCCTAGCCTCCTCCCTTGACAGAAACCCTGAACCCTAATTAAACTGTAATGTTGGACCCTTAAACAGGAGCAACAACCCCAGCCTCGACTGTTCAGGGGGGGGGGGGGCCCTAAACCCTAAACCCTAAACCCTAAACCCTAAACCCTAAACCCTAAACCCTAAACCCTAAACCCTAAACCCTAAACCCTAAACCCTAAACCCTAAACCCTAAACCCTAAACCCTAAACCCTAAACCCTATCAAATGAGCCTTCGGAGAGGCGGCAGCGGGGGCGCTTCGCGTGCGGCTCCCGTTTCGGCCCCCGCGCTGGGCCCTTGGGAATTCTCAGGGTCTCAGGGTCTCGTCTCAGGGTTTAGGGTTTAGGGTTTAGGGTTTAGGGTTTAGGGTTTAGGGTTTAGGGTTTAGGGTTTAGGGTTTAGGGTTTAGGGTTTAGGGTTTAGGGTTTAGGGTTTAGGGTTTAGGGTTTAGGTTGAGGGGTTAGGGTTTAACGTTGAGGGTTTAGGGCTTAGGGTTTTTTAAGGGTTTAAGGGTTTTAGGGTTTTAGGTTTAGAGGGTTTATAGGGCTTATGGTTTTTAAGGGTTTTAGGGTTTTAGGGTTTTTTTTAAGGGTTTTAGGGTTTTAGGGCTCCAGGGCTTCTGGGCGTAGAGTTTGTTCAGGGTTTGAGGGTTTAGGGATCTCGGGGGGGCTTGCGGCTGTAGGGTTTGGAGTTTGGGGCTTGTTAGTTTTTTGGGTTTAGGGTTTAGGGTTTAGGGCTTCATAGGGAAGGGGTAGGTACCTGAGGAAGCTTATAAGGACCCTTAGGGAGTAGGTGGGAGGGTTGGGGGGACCTTGGGTTCCATACACCCCCCCTTGAACCCCTCTTCCTTTTTGTTTGGGGTATTCACGGTTTGACCTCCGACGCAACGTGCCGCCACACCTCAACAAGGGCCAGCTCTAGTTTTGTCGTCTTGCAGCCAGCCACACACATGGCCATTCCATGCAGGACGGACAAAAGACTGCGACTGA